AAGAGCAGGTGGGGAAAGGGATCTGTGGGATTTTTTTGGCTGATTAAAATAGATGAAAATTTTGGAGAAACATTCGTCTGTAGGATTTAATGTGAAAATATGTCAACTTTGAGTTTTCGCCAAGATCTGGAGCCAGCGTCCTGAGAGCTGGGACTGGACCTTGTCCAGGATGGTGTTTGTGGGTGAAGACCTCAAACTGAGCCTCCGCTTCCCTGTTTATCATTAGTGTCAGCTCCTCGCCTTCCCTCGCCTTGTCTGATGAGAGCAATAGCAACGTCTCTGTGTGAATGATACTCATTTAAACCCTGCTTGGGGATCTCAGAATAATTCCTACAATAATCATATTGTCCAACTTTAATGGCCACATGAATCAACTGAGGATAGATTAAAGTGCGGATTCTGGTTTGGTCATTCGGAGAGTGGGCCTGAGATTCTATATCTCTAGTAGCTCCAGGTGATGCTGATGCTGGTCCAGGGTCCACCCTGAGTTGCAGGGGTTCAAAAGCAACAGTCCACATGGACTACATGTAACAGAATCACGTGCCCCGGGCTTGTCCAAATGCAGATTCCTAGGCTGTATCTCAGTTCTCTGGGACCAGGCTTTTTAAGGGTGGAGGCCAAGAATCAGCTCTTCAAGCTGGTGCTGCCGGTGATTCTTAAGTACATTAAAGGTTTTGACGTACTGGCCTTGGCGGGGATGGCGGTTAGACTGGAGGAACACATCCTTTAAGGGGACACAGCGAATCACACAGCAAGTCGGTTGTAGAAAACTGGCCACTCTTGTAGAGCTTGCATGGGGAAGACCAGCTGGGAGTTTCTGGACTGGCTGGATGACCAGGGGCCTCGGCTGCTCTTCTGGGAAGTGCCTAGGCTATGATTTGATGAATATTTTTCTGTCCCCTGGTTTCCCCTGTCTTTCCAGTCGTCCAGCATGCTCTGCCCACCCCACGCCGAGGCGCACTGACCATGAGCCTCAACTCCTCCCTCGGCCACAGGAAGGAGCTGAGTAATCTCACTGAGGAGGAGGGCGGCCCCGGGGGTGGCGGCGTCACTGAGTTCATCGCCATCATTATCATCACCATTTTCGTCTTCCTGGGCAACCTGATCATCGTGGTCACATTGTACAGAAAGTCCTACCTCCTCACCCTCAGCAACAAGTTCGTCTTCAGCCTGACCCTGTCCAACTTCCTGCTGTCCGTGTTGGTGCTGCCTTTCGTGGTGACCAGCTCCATCCGGAGGGAATGGATCTTTGGCGTGGTCTGGTGCAACTTCTCTGCCCTCCTCTACCTGCTGATCAGCTCGGCCAGCATGCTCACCCTTGGGGTCATTGCTGTCGACCGGTAAGCTTGCCTCACCCTTAGAGAATCGAAGAACTTAGGAGTGTGGGCAAAGGGGGAACCTGAGAGATCGCGTGGGCTGTGACTTTCAAAGTGTCTTAGTTCCTCGGGAGGGTGTCGGGGGCCTCTGCTGGGGAGTGCAAGAAGACAAGAGTGCTGCCTTGTTACCCTTCCCTTCAACCAGAGCTTACATCTCATCTAACTTGCATGTAGTTTTATTTTTTAAAAGAGATTCTAATGCTTTAAAAAAATTTTTCTAGAAACCTCTGCCTCTCAGTTGGTAGATGAGAAACAGCAGCTGAGGAGGGTGATATGCTGAGGAGGTGTCAGGTCCGGGTCTTTCCCAAAGTGCCGCCTGCTGTCTGTTGCTTCGGGTTGGGCCAGAGCTGGACCAGGGGAGGCGGGAGAGGAAACGCTCTCGTCCTCCACAGTGGGGGGGCCTTAGAATCAGCTCAGTCCTGGGTGGAGGGAGAGCGGGGGAAGGCAGACACCCCAGGGAATGGAGACAGTGGCATCCGGGAGAGACAGTGTGTGCTTGTAAAAATCTGGGTGGTCCCTTTGTGCGGTCTCGCTGGCCAAACACTGAGAAAGCGCGCTGCTGACGTCCCTTGGCTCCATCTAGCACATTCTTCCAGATTCCCACGTTGGGCTGTCAGAGTAGGTGTGCAAGTCCTGCTGGCTTTGACAGCGAGTTTCCAAGCCCTTGAGTCCTTTTGTTTATGAGGATTTTGTGGATGGCCACTTCATTCATTCCAGGCAAGGGTTTGACTTCACGAGGGCAGAGAGGGTAGATTCGGGTTCTGTGTCATTTACAGGATTGGGAGGAAGCTAGCAGCGGCGTTGGGGAAATCACAGAGGGGGCTGGCCGGGGCTGTCACCACCGGGGGGCACACGTCCCCGGGCTTCCTCGGGATTGTCAGGCTTTGAGCTGGTGAGTGGCAGCTGGGTTGCCCGCCCGGAGCGCAGGCCTCCCCTTGCTCTGAAGCTGGGGGGCGCACAGAGTGGAGGAGCCGTGCTCAGGGCTCATCGGGTGGCTTCTCCTAGTATCTTTTTCCCCCAACGATAAAAATTACGCTCAAAGTATAAAAAGTAAAATAAAAAATTAGCCCTAATCCCACCAATCAGAAGCCATCACTGTCTATGTTTTGTAGTATATTTGCCCTCAGTGATTTTTGGCTGCATTCAGTAAATTTAGAAAATTTAGGCTCATGGCACATGTGGTTTTATGACCTGCTTTTTCACTAAAGTGATTATGAGCATTTTTTCCACTTGCAGATATCCCTTGAGAATGTGATTTTTTTTAATGGTTACACAGTTTTCCATCCTCTGGATGTTCTATAGTTTATTTTTAACATCCCTCTATTGCTTTACTATTTAATATAGCACTTTTGAGGAAGATGTATGTATGTGGGATTGTTTTTGGTCAGAGTAAACACACTTTCAAGATTCTTGATGTACGGAAGGCAGCTTGCCCCCCAGAAGGTTGTACAGATTTGTACTCCACAGCTGTCTGTCAGCCTCCTATCAAGACTGATACAGCATTAAAAGCAGAATTGGAAGTTTGTCGGCAGTGAAATAGGATGAGATCTCACCATTGTTTTAATTTCTTTTTTTTTTAATCACTACTATTTGAATATCCCTTCCTGGGGTCCTATGGAATGTGGAGTTGGGGCTAACAGCTCAGCAGAGCAGGGGACCTGGTTGTCACAGAATTCCCTGTCACAGAGCTGTCTGTGCAGGGATGCTCAGGAAACAGTGCCAGCTGTCTGCCGTGGCAGCTCTGGAGGCTATAAATTGCTTGCTGGGATCTGGGTTCTGGGTAAGTGAGAGTGAGATTTTTCACCAGCAAACTAGACAGATCCTCACGTCATGCCATCAACAGCATCATCTGAGAAAATTTACCTTGTTCAATGCCTTATTCTTTCACACTGGAATATTTGCTGGGTGTCTACCAGTGGTAGGATACAGCATGAACAGGACACAGGCCTGCCCACCAGGAGTTCACAGCTTCGTGGCAGAGGCTGACCGCTGGGTACTGATATGATCACAAAGCAGAAAGCAGCACTGTAACTGCCCCCGTCACTGCCTCTGATGGAGGGACCAGGAGTGCTCCAGGGAAGAGGTGGCATTTGGGCTAAGCCTTAACAGTGAATAGGACTGCAAGGGCTCTTCCAACTGATGAAGCAGCTTCCATTTATTCATTTGGTAAGCAGTTATTAAGCACCTAGTATATGCCCGTCACGGTGGGTGGTGCTAGGAATACACAGCTGAAGAAGATGAGTAGACACGCTGAGGAATTCATGGAGAAGAGGGGCTAGACTTGCGGTCAGATGCTTTTAGGACCATATGATGTGTGCATAAGGCCTGTGAGAACGCAGGGGAGGGAGCAAGGTAGAGCGTGGCGTGTGTGACATAGCTGGAGACCGGGGGAAGTGACTGGAAAGGGAAGAAGTGACACGTATCAACAGATTGCACCACAGTCGTCCCATTAGAGCTTTAATCCAGGCACCACAGGCCCCACAGCCTGGCCCCAGGGTCACCCAGTGACAGAGCCATGAGTCGAGCGAGAAAGGACTCTGCCTCCCTGTGATGACAAGATACACGAAGCCCTGGTTATCTTAGAAAGACAGTTCATTTCCACCTACAAGCACCAGGGGGATTCACGGTGCTTAGGCCAGATCTTTATGACTATGATATGTAGACTGCTGTAAAATTAGGTGTCTTCAAGTATTTTCCTGGCAAATGCAAATTTTTTTTATTATTGGTCATTTGTGTGGCCTAAAATACAAATTGGCTGGACCAGTTAGTTTGGACATGTTCATACAGATGATCCCCATTTGACTAGGATTTCATACACTCCTTCTCTTGCCCCCTGAATATTGGGGAATTAATTTTACTTGATGTTATTAATTTTGGAGGTCATTTATTTGCC